GACGTTTTTAACGTCATTCGGACATATTTTGTATCCTGTTGACGTTTAGACGTTTTTTGTGTAAAAAATGACGTTTTTTAACTTCCCAGTAAATTTTCTCTGTAACTAAATCTTGTAAGTAGAACTGATTTTGAATTAGTTTCTTAATAAATCTTTACACGCTTTGTGTTTTGCAACAGCTTCTTCAAAATATATTCATTCTTTGGACACAGATGACTTAAATATGATGCAAATCAAGCGTACGCGCATTTTGTTTTGGATTCTTGGACTAATGATCCCGTGTTCAAAGGCTGGTTGTGTTAACACTTGAGGGTACGAGGCTTATTGTAATGTTTGCAATTGCACATTAAAAGCCAAATCAGGAAGAGCCGATCTATTGCACCACGCACACTCGCAAAAGCAGCAAAAAAGCTGTGCAGCATAAAAAGTCAGAAAAAAGTAGGCGACTTCTTTAAGAATTAATTGAAAATGTAATGAACGAAAAAATGCTGAAATATTGCTATGCGCCTTTTTAGCAGGACGTAATTTAGCATTTTCGACAACCGACCCCCTAACCAAATGTCTACAAAAAAAAACCTATTTAAAAATAAACGCGATTCTTTAGCAACTTAAAACTTGCACATTATTGCAAACTGCATACCCATAAAAAATCTAAAAAATCTGAATAAAAAGTTGAAAATCTAGCTGAAACTTTGCAGATTTTTTATAATTTTTCCAGAAAGTTTGAAATGTGGATTTATATTTTATATATATAATGAGCTTGGTTTTTATGAAAAAATAATAAACATTAAATAAACAAAAGAGAAACAGCCAAAATCGGTCAAAATGTTGATGACTTAATCAGCTGATCACAAGTGTATGTATAAAATGATTTTTATATTAACGATCTCAAACCAGTTTACAATGAATTTTAAATGTGCTTTGTCGAAATTACATTTTAATATACCTTATGTACATATGTACCTTTGTATACAATAAAAGTTTAATAAGAACAACTTTTTGTACATTCATTTGAAAAAGACGTTTGTAACGTAGCATATCCGCTACGATACAATAACATACAGCATCGTACATACATACAATATTGTACATACATACTGCACCGCACATACATACAATAGTGTACATACATACGATACAATAACATACAGCCTCGTAACATACAGCATCGTACATACATACAATATTGTACATACATACTGCACCGCACATACATACAATAGTGTACATAGATACTCCACCGCACATATAAATACAGACATACATACAGCAACGTACATGCACACACCATTGTACATACACACTACACCAAGTGAAGCACTGCTAGCAGCACACCAGCAGCATGCCCGAATAACTCACCAACCACTTCGCTCACCACACTGCATAAATCGGGACGGCACACGACGAATTCTCAACAAGCATACAGCGCAACAGGTATAAAAGGCTCAACAAGTGCGCAGTCAGGTCAGTCTTGCTAGGTGAGTAGCTGACTTGATTGGTCGATGAGCCCGTGGTGTGCTTGCACAACTAATGTTTCGTCGGCCAGCCAAGCCAAGCTCGGCGTGACCAGTCGGTCGAATCACATGGTGTGCCTGCGGGCGCACTAATATTTCACCGACTGGCCAAGCCAAAACCAAGTACGACTCAACCCGCCGGCAGACCAGGATTGCACGCCTTTTAGGCATCCTAATTGGCCGCCGGCTGGTTGAGCCTCCGACACTGCCGACCCGTTCCAGCCCCTACATTTGTAGAGAGCGACTAGGGGAATGGCAGTGCCTGGAGTGAATCTTGCTAGTCTTGCTAGGTCGTTTCGCTCCACCGGTTGCCGAGGGCCAGTTGCTGTTAGAAGTCACCCGCTGCCGCATATCATCCGTCGTAGCGCTCCCACCGCTACTCAACCGTTGCTCCGCTGTTGCCGAGAGTCACCCGCTGTGCCGCCGCCGCTGCTCAACCGTTGCTCCGCTGTTGCCGAGAGTCACCCGCTGTGCCGCCGCCGCTGCTCAACCGTTGCTCCGCTGTTGCCGAGAATCACCCGCCGTGCTCCTAGCGCTCTCACCGTTGCTCAAGCGTTGCTCCGCTGTTGCCGATAATCACCCGCCGTGCTGCTAGCGCTCCCACCGCTGCTCAACCGTTGCTCCGCTGCTGCTAGCGCTCTCACCGTTGCTCAAGCGTTGCCTCGCTGTTGCCGAGAGCCACCCGCCGTGCCGCTAGCGATCTCACCGTTGCTGCGCTACTCCTGAGAGGCAACCGCCGTGCTGCTAGCGCTCTCGCCATCATCCGCTCCGACCCGACCGCACGACCACAACGAACGTCACCTCTCTCTCGCTCTCCCTCTCTTTGGACATAAGGTTGCTAGCACTCTAGTCGTAGCGCCGTGTGTGTGTGTGTGTTCGAAGTAAATACACTAAAATAGTGTGTTTTATTTGGTGGGGGTTAGTGGGACCTTCGCCGGACTCTGGATCGGCTGAGTTCACCTCAGCCTTTGACAAAACCCACCTCATAAATGGCGCCCGAGCAGGGACCCAGCTCTGCAGGCGCATGTGCAAAAAATTTTACAAGCACCAACACTGCGGAAGCGGGCTCGCCGAACACACCACAACCAACAGATGACACACGCGCCAGCGAGAGCAAAACCAATACGCTGAACGTCGACTCCCTCAGCTGGATATACCTGCTAAAGAAGGAGAAGTTGATAGAAGAGTGCAAGCGACATCGAATTTTCGTAGAGGGATACACAGTCGCCGACCTGCGCAACGCGCTCAGCGCATATGTAAAAGCAAAGCGCAACCGCAAGTCAACGGAGGATTTACTGAGAGACCTAGAAGAAGAGGTCAAAGCAGAAGAGGACAGGCCAGTAAAGCTGCAACCCACCACTATTCCCACCGTCCGGATCGACAACTGTAGTCCACAGCCAGGAGAAATGAAGCGCACAGCATCAAAGCGTAACGAGATCAGCGACGCCGAGCTGATGAATACTGTCCGTCGATGGGACGTACACTTTGCAGGAGGCGACACGCTACACGACTTCCTGGAGAGAATCGAAGAACTAGCCGAGTGCTACCGCATCCCACTGGACAGCCTCCTCCCAACCCTACCTGAAGTACTGCGCGGGAAGGCCCTCCAATGGTTTCGCGTGCGAAAGCTACAAATCCACTCGTGGGCAGCATTCCGTACAGAAGTTGAGCGGTTCTTCCTCCCCAGGCGACACATGAGCCAGCTTGAAGAAGCCATCCGGCAGCGACGTCAGCAGAGCCGAGAGAAAGCCAAAGATTATATCTTGGCCCTACAAACACTGATACGCCAACACCCGACTATGTGCGGAGATGATCACCTGGAGCGCATATACGATGGCTTGCGCGTGGAATACCGCCTGTTTGTCAAACGGGGAGAGTTCAAGACGATCGAGGAGCTGATGGATCTCACTGATGAATATGAACTTCTGAAAGGCGAGGAGGCCAGGAATGCCAGACAGGCAGCTCACAGCCTAGCTCCCCTAGAAGAGAGGTACAACAGGGAGGAATCCTGCTGGCGGTGCAAGGGACGCGGCCACCTCCGCTTCCGATGCCGAAGGACGAAAAGACTATTCTGCTCTAGGTGCGGCCGAGATAATGTTCTCTCCAGAGATTGTTCGTGCAACACTGCCACCGTGAAGCCGCCCCGCAAAATACGCGGCACCAGAACAGTTCCGATAGCCGCCGCCCCTGTGGATACTAACATTCAACCAGGAGGAAAAGTAGATGGTCGCTACTATATCGATGTGAGCGTCGAAGGTATGCGCGTACGCGCGCTACTAGACACCGGCGCAACGCTCACCTACATCGACGAATCTATACGTCAACACCTAGAAGAGAGGAAAATCCAACCCCAACCTACTCACCGAAACGTACAACTGGCCGATCAAACATGCGTCTCCAGCTTGTACACTTATCCAGTAAGAATAACGTTTAACGAGCGAGCGACAACAACACTTGCTTCGGCACTCCCAAATCTCGCAGAACGCATGATCCTGGGGATGGACTTCCTCAGAGACAGAGGAATTGTCCTTACGCTAGACGGACAATCACTGCCCGCAGCCATCCCGCGAACGACAGATGCACCATCCCAGCTGTGCGCCCTGATCGAGAGAGAACACCTGAGCAAGGAGCAGAATAACCAACTGGCCGAATTCCTGATACACCACAAGAAGACCTTCAGCGGAATCACCGGACCCAGTACCGCCGCCGAGCATGTGATCACTCTCAAACACAACCGGCCGCTGAAGCAGCGCTACTACCCCCGCAACCCGGCTATGCAGCAGGTGATCAACGCTGAAGTCGATGAGCTGCTGGCAGCTAAGCGGATCGAACCATCAAAGAGCGCGTACAGCTCACCGATTGTCCTAGTTCGGAAAAAGCAAGGAAGCTGGAGGATGTGCATAGACTACCGCCAGCTCAACGCTGCCAGCGAACCAGACGCATACCCACTGCCCCAGATTGGAGCAATCCTCGACCAACTCAGAGAAGCGAAGTACATATCCACCATTGATTTGAAAAACGGCTACTGGCAGATACCCCTAGCCAAAGGATCTCGGCTATACACCAATACGTCAACGATAATTGGTACGTTGGTACCAATACGGCCAAACCAAACTTTGTATACATAACACCGACCTACTTCGCGATTAC